ATACTTTTTAAAACAATTTTTGTTTTTAATGGATTTATAACAATAACAAAAAAAAAATTAAAAATAATTAGGGTTTTAGAATATTTGAACTGAAAACAAAAATGAAAGAGATAATTGAACGAATAACATTAGGGAAGGGAAATGATGAAGATTATCAATTACTCAAACAAAATATTAAATCAGATATTATTGGATTTCAAAAAGAAGGAGGATTTGAAATGATAAGAAATAAAACTAATGATACAAAGATAAATAATACTGAAAAAATTCAAATAATTTCATTGTTAGAAGAGTTATGTAAAGGGTGTAATATTATTCAAAATTTAGAAATATATAAAGGAATAATTCCATTTAAATGGTTAAAAGAAGAAGAAAATGAAGAAATAATAATGAGTATATTAAACTGTGGGTATTTATTATTACAATTAGAAGACACAGTAATTTATTATAAAGAAAATGAAATATTAAAAGATATATATCAAATTAGTAATTATAAAAATGGGAAGTTATTATATAAAGTTATGGAATATTTAGAATTATATTGTTCTAAAGAAACAGAAATATATTTAGTTGAAATATTAGATAATAGAGGAGTAGATGTTTTAAAGAAAACATTAGACTATTATCTTTCAGAATCATCAGATGATTTAAAACAAAAATTAATAGAAAAGACATGGTTTGTTATTGATGTATTTACTTCAATACAAAATATTGCAGAAGGATTTATTAAATGTGGTATAATTCAAAAAGTAATTCAGTGTTATGATTCAATTAGTAATAAAACAATTCAAAAACAAATTTATTGGAAATTAATATCGTTGTCTTCTATTCTTCCTAATGAATTAATTCTTGAGTTATATACTCCAAAAGAAAATTGTATACCACTAACAACAGTTGAAGCAGATGATCCAGAAATGATTAAATTATACTTAACTACAATATTAAAAATATTTATTGCTGGAGATGAAATTGACCAACAAAAAAATCCATTTCTTCCTATTTTCTATCATCACCAATTTGTTTCTGTGTTAGAAAAATATATTCCTTCTGAAGATAAAGAAATATCAAAATTTGCATCTTATTTATTAACCTTATATTTTCTTGGAAATGATAAGAATTTAATTCAATAACTTATTTGTTTCTTATTTGTTTTAATTTTATTGAAGTCTTCTCAAAATTTGTTTATTTATTAACTCCCTAAAAACATTTACCCAAAATAATCTTTTATTTTAATTTATGAAAATAAATTTTAACTCTGATTCTTTTGTTTTTTTTTTCTTTTCTTTTTTATAAAGACCTTTATTTAGAAGTTAAACGCCATACCTAAAATTAGCTATTGTTTTTATTAATCCCGAAAAACAAGACATGAAAAGTCATGTCAAAAATAATTTTTGTTATGAATTTAATTTCCTTTTCATTTTAATTTATTTCTTATATTTAACTAATAAAGTTTTATCGAATAATGGAAAAAAATCCTTTTAAACGTTTTTATCGGGAAATCCAAAAAAAAAAAACATGAAAAAATATGAAAAAAGAAAACTGTGGAACGAAAAGAAAAATCAGAAATAACATTAAGTCATTAATTTTTATCCTTTCATAAGATTTCAAAAAGGAAATGATTTAATCTTAAAATTGTCATATTTTATTAATAATGGATGTACAAGTTGAGCACTTTCTCACTATGAGTGTTGGAGTTAATTTTGAAATCATTCAAACTAAAGACTTATTGGTTGGATCATTAAAATATGGTGAAGTTTCCTTAGTTTTTAGAAATGACTCTAGTTTTAAACAATTTACATTATTTAGTTTGTTTTACTTATTTTATTTATCTTTTCAAAAAGAGTATGAGATATTAATTTGAATATAGACATTTTTGCCTCTTCATTTCAAAATGAAAAGAAATGTAACCACGTTATTAAAAGACTTCAATCAATCAAACATGTTAGTTCTCTTCCACTCCTTCATATTGATACTGTTTATCAAACAGAACATCAAATTTTTATTCTCTGTAATGATTCTTTTTCTTTTGAAGACAGAATGAATAACAAGATTACTTCAGATGAAGCACGTTATTTCTTAGCAGATTTTCGTTATATTCTTCAAGCCATTACTATACTTCCTGCACATGTATCTTCTCAATCTTTAGTTTTCATGCAAGATTCTATTTCAACCTGTTTTAAGTCTCGTTGTGATAGTCCATCATCTCCTATTCCTCATTTATTACTTTCTCCATTGGCATTTGTCTTACCAATGACTATTCTTCCAAATATGAATATTACAAAAACTACTCCTTTTATTCTTTCATTAATAAATGACATTGTTTCTAAAGTGATTCCCCAAGATGAGTCAGATACTTATTTTATTGGTCAAGTTATGAAATTTATTCAAAATAAAGAGTTAGTTTCTCTTGAAGAGTTAAGTAACTCTGAATTTCTATTTCGGTGTTATGAGTTTCAACAATTACCCCATGGGTCTTTAGATAATTATACCCCTCTTGAGTTTATCGGTAATGGGGCTTTTGGGTTAGTTGTTAAAGTTGAACGTGATGGAGTTATATATGCTATGAAACAATCATCTAGGGCTGATATTCTTCAAAGAGAAGCCCGAGCAATGAAATTATTAAGTCATCCTAATTTGATGTCATTAGTAGATTATATTGAGTCTTCTGAGTCTTTTGTCTCTAGACTCGGAATTAAGGCTAACAGAAGTAAGATGTATTATTATCTTGTAATGGAATATTGTAACTTTGGTACCCTTGCTCAATATATAAACACCCATGATTTAAAAGAAGAAGATATTGTTTATTTTATTTCTCAAATTAATGATGGGTTAAAGTATTTATTATATAAAAAGATGATGGTTCATAGAGACATTAAATTAGATAACGTTTTATTAACAACTATTCCTGGATCAAAGGCAGAACTTCCATTTAATCTTCAAGTTAAATTAGCTGATTATGGGTTTTGTCGTGCTATTAACAGTGGGATAGAGCATGTTAAGGTTGGAACTCCTTTATACTTAGGTCCAGAGATTTACAATAATTCTAGTCCATCATTAAAGAGTGATTTATATTCTGTTGGTGTAATGCTTTTTAGAATGGTTTGTGGGTGTTTTCCTAATGAAATTAATACCTCACAAACTCTAAGAAATGAAAACCCTCATGTAGTATTTCCTCAAAAAGTTAACAACGACACTCATTTAAGTTTATTAAGGAATCTTATTTCACGTTTAATTCAAAAAGAATCTATAAGAATTGATTGGAATAGTTATTTCAATCATCCATTTTTTGTTCATTGTTAATGGTTTATTTATTTAATTGTACTATTAATTGCTTTATCCTTTTTATTTTTCATTTTGTTCGTTTTGGTACTTTAGTTAACTCTCTTTTTGAAGCACTGTTTCATTAACAAAAATAATCCTAATATTATCAATACATTTTTAATTCTTAATAACACCATGAGACTATTTGTAAGATGTAGTAATTTAATAAATAAAGAAATGTTTTTGTTAAGTTGTTTAGTCTAAGTAATTATAATATTTAGATTGGACAATTATTTAGTAAAGAATCAATGAAGTTATTTTTTTTTAATATTATATGAAATGTTTTAAATTGAATTATTATATTCATTAGTTGGTCTTTTGTTAAAGTATCAAGATATCAAGAAATTAAAAGTAAAAGACTTTATTCCAGAGTTTTTAAGATATTTTTTTACTACACATACTTTCTGATGTGAGAGTCTATTCAACTTTAGGAAATTAAAAAATATAAGTAGTAAAAGTCAATGAAATGAGATATGAAATTTGTAGAGAATTAATATATATTTTATTATTACAAACTTTTATTTTATGGTGTTAATTTGTAATGAACAAATGAATTTTTGGTTGTGTTATAAAAGAGAGTTGAATAAATTTTTTATAACAAAGCTTTGTTTATTTTTATGATTTATTCAATAATTATCAAAACAAAAGGAATATAAAATATATTTTATAAAAAGGAATATAGTTATTCTTCTATCATTTGATGCTCAAACAATTGGATTGTTTCTTTTAGCATTGGAGAAATAACCTCAATAACATTTTGAACGTATCCAAGAACAAAAGCATGTAAAATATCAGTAATAATAATTTGAGCTTGTGGACAACGTTGCATCATATCACGAGCAACATTCTCATTTCCATATACATCATTTTTACCATAAATTAGATGAAGTTTAGAATGAAAAGTATTTAAGAATTGAATAAAATCGTCAGGGTATTCTTTAATTTGAACACCTTCATCTTTACATAAAGAAAGCATTTGACCAGTCATTTGAGGGTCTAAATGATCTTTCAGTATTGGAATATATTGTTTTGGAACATCAGTAACTAAAGAAAAGAAGAAAGTTATTAAAGATAACGGTAAAAGTTGAAGTAAATGTGTTGAGAAAGCAAGACAAGTAATAATAAAAGGAGAGTATGTAATTATTTTATATAAAGTGCAAAAAGATTGTTTTAAATTAATAAGTGCAGGGAATAAACCATAATAACCAACAATTCGAGATTGATCTATTTGACGTAATGCTTGTAAAGTAATATAATTACCAATAGAATGACCTAAAATAATAAATTTAGTATTTGGATATTTCTGAAATATTTCATTGAAAAATTGAATTTTTAAATGAATTGCTTGATGAACTCCAAGTGAATGTTCTCCATTTTTACATAAAGAAACAATAATTGTTGGATAATTAAATAGTTCTATTAATGCACATGAAAATTCTTTATAAAATTCAATAATAGAAGGATTACCAGGTATAACAATAAATGCCAGTGGTGAGTCAATTTTTTCTGAACTAAATAAACAATGTTGATTACAAATAATATTATAAGTAAATTGAATATTCATATTCTCTACTTTAATAGAAAGATGAAATATTATATAATAAATTAATAGTTTTACTATAATTTTTATTTTAAATAATAAATTGTAATAATAAAATTATAATTAAAAATGAATTAATTTAAGAAAATTGAGCAAACTTTTTAATCCATAATGAATCTTCTTTAATTGCCCAAGATAAAACAGCAGTTGCTGTTTTCATCATTTTTACTTTGTTTTCTTGGAATTTACTAAAAGTGATAAAAGCATAATGAGTATTATTTTCTACAGTTACAATTATTTCATCATCAAATACAAACATTTCTTGTTTAAGTTTTTCTTTAGTAAGACCAATATATAAATTTTCATATATTCTAAATAATCTTTTTTGTTCTTTACGAGTTGTATGAATAGTGAATGGAGACATAAATACTTGATTATCATTTTTTGAATATACAACAAAATGAAGAATTTCATTTTTAATAATATATGGACAAACAGTTGGTGTTGGAGCTTCAATTTGATTCCAAAACTTAGATTGCTTAATTGTATGTTTAAATGTTTTATAACATTTAGTTAAATAATTCATTGATGTAGGTTGAGTAGCAACTAAAACAATAGAAAATGATGTTGTAATATATTTTACAAAGACATGAATTTGTGCTTTTTCATTAAAATCATTTAAGCATAATGGCATCCAAGAAATAGTCTTTCTAGATGAAATAGAACGTACAAATGAAATTAAAACTTGTGAATCCATTGGGGTAAGATTAGCACTTCTTTTACCTAATACTACTATTTTACTATTTAAAATTAAAGCAGAAAATAAAATACAATCATTATTTGCTTTAAATAATTCAATATTTGTTTGTGACACAATTGTTTGAATATTTTCAGTTAAATAATTTCTTATTGTTGTAGGAAATTGTTCAATATCAAATGCATTAAATAATAGTCCTGATGACATATTACCATGACTTATAGCACATTTCATTTGATTATATGTTCCTCCAATAACATTTCTAAAATCTGTTCCATATGATTTATCAAAGATACTTTGAATTGATGGAAATGGAATTATACTACAAATAGTACAAAATAAAAATTGTAATTGTTTTATTATTATTTCTGGTTGTTCTTTTGTATTAGAAACACAACAAAATTGTAATGGTCCTTTATTTAAGAAAACATATAAATGTTCATTACTTCTTACATATTTTAATTCATCATTATTGTCATTTACAACACTTGTTATAGCTAATAATGTTGCCATAAATGGTGCTAATTCAATATCATTCCCATATCGTGAAAATGCAGGTTTTCCTGCTAATGTATAAACAAACATATGTTTATGATGTAAAAACCATTCAGGGCAACTTGGGTCTTCTACCATATGATGGGCCCAATTCTCTGCATAACTTTCATTGAAAGCTATTGGAGATAATGGAGTGGTACTTCTTCGAGAAGACATTTTCTTTTTTTTTTCTTTTTAAGTTTCTTTTTCATTTTTTCTTTTTAACATATTATTTGGTCATTTATAACATTTATGATTATTAAGTATTTCTTTTAAGGGTGTATTTATTCGTATTACAATGTCTTATTTTCCTTATCTAAAATAACACTAAAATAATTTGTCTTTTGTGGTGAATAAAAGTACTATAACCTTCTTTTTTTTTCATACGTTGTTTTAAAAAAGTTGTTGTTTGATATTCACTCAAAAACTCATTTTGTACACAAGTTTTTAATACTTTATGAGAAAGTAATATATTAGATAATAAATATTTTTAATGAAGTTGTAGATTAAATATGATAATGCATTAAAAATAGTTTTCAATTCCAAATCATTACTCTTGTTAATAATTTTTGTTTTATCAACAATTAGGATATTAATGGCTTTCTTATTATTATTATTTATTAAGTACTGGAAATAATTATATATATTTAAAATAGTATTGTGTATATTTCTTTTTGTACAATTAGAATTAGATAAATTAATTAGAATATAAATAATTAAAGACTCTTATTGGTGATACTAATAAAATATTTTTAAACTATTTTATTTTTTATTTTTTTTTTCATGAAGGTATAGTGAAAAGATATATAAATGTTATTGTCATTATCAATGTTGTCTAGTGTTGATTAATAAATATATTGTTAGACTTTAATTTAAAGAACAAAAATGATATTTTGTCAATTATTTTTAGAAACTCTGTATGCCAGAATAAACAAGCTCAATTCATATCAATTCAATTTATTTTTATTCATCCAAAATATTTCTTATCAAGAAACAAAGGATTTTTATCTAGATTATTGACAGTTTATTTTGGTAAAAATAAGAAAATTAATAACAGAATAATACAATTATGATAAACAACCAAGATAAATAGTCAAAACTATAAAGAAGTTGATAAAAATTGATTTAATAAATAAGTATGTTATTCTAAATAAACGAGAAGACAAATCTTTTGATAATTAAATAACATCAAAAAACAAATTATTTTTATAAAAAGAAAAAGAAATAACAAAAGAGTAAAATTAAATAAATTATTTTGTTGTTATGTTAGAGTAATTTTTGATATAAAATTCAAAGAAGAAAACAAAATAGAAAGAGAATAAAAATAAAGAGATGAAAGATGAAATTAACACCAAGTTATCATTCTAATGATGATGGTTTGTTTGTTTTTAATAACTAAATGAACAAAAAACACATTTTAAAATTTCATTTAATAATACTCTACTTTATTTCCTGAGTGAACTTGTTTTATAATAAGAATAACAGACCATACTCCACAGCCAATCACAAAAAGCCCATACAACCCAGCAGCTACACCAAGATTGATTCTTAAAAGAAGAAAATCAAAATCATCTTTTAACATCTTTCCTTTTTTTACAGTATAACTATCAGCAAAAATACAAAGAATAACTAAGAAAATAGCTCCCCAAATAGAGAGCATTGTACAAAACAAACTACCTAAAAACATTAATACATAAAAAAGTTTTTAATAATAACAATACATTTAACAATATTTAATAAAAATAAAAATGTATTAAATAAAACCAAACATTTAAGATTTGGAATATACTTTTTAAGAGCATTTTTATTGCAACTCATTGAAAGATGTTAGTAATGAATGTTTTTTTTTTCAATTTTTCATTAAATTTCATTTTTGTATAAAATAATAAATGAATTTACTATTTATATAGTTTTTGTCTTTGTTTCATAAACTTTTCTTTTTTTTATGTAAAAAAAATTTAAATAATAACAAAAAAGAATTCAAATAATTGTTAATTTATTCATTCAACAATTAGAAATGATGAATGTAGATAAAAATTGTTATATTTAATACACAATTAGATAATTTAAATGGGTAAAAAACTGAATTTATTTGAATGTAATTTAAATGGTCATATAAATGATAATTACATGATGTATCTGTTATTAAATAAAAATCATGTTGGTTTGTTTTTTGAAGAATTTTAATAAATTCATTTAATAATTGTTTCCCAATTCCTTTTTTACGATATTCTTTATTTACAATAAATAATACAACTTCATTTTGAATTGATTTATTTGATTTTTGGTTTATTTTTTCTGCTTCTTCATAATATTTTTCAATTGAATTAATAAGAATAGAGCTTTCAGGATAACAATGAAATTGTTTCTTTAATTCTTTAACTTTTTGTTCCAAAATATTATTTTTTTTAAATATGGATTGATCTCTTCCCATTAAAAATCCTATTACTTTCTCATTTTCTTCAGCAACTATACAATAATTTGAATGTAAATAACAATATGAACAATATTCTTCACAATAACTATCTACAAGATATTCAGGAAGATATTTATCAGTTTCCCATGCTTGACAAACCATTTCTTTTATGAATTTCCAATCTTTTTGATTCATTAAACGATATTTAACTTCCATTACAAAAAAGAATAGAAATAAAAAAAAACTAGAATTAAATTATTATATAATTTAAAAATAAAAAGTAGTTAATTAAGTATTAATAGAATTTTCATCTATTCTTCCTAGCTCAGGGGAGACTAATCCCATCCCTGAGCTTATTAAAAAAGAGTAATCTCTTTGTTGAACCTATCATTTAGGTTTGTCTTGCAAAATGAGGAAAGCACTTCTTTGCTTTATTTTTCTTATTAAGGTTTTTTCAAACTTCTTCTGCTTATTTCTTCTTTTTAAGCCTTTGTTTGTTTTCTGCCTTAATTTTCAGGAATTTCATTTTTCTTATTTTATGAATGGGAGAAGGAATCATTTTATTACTACTGTATTACTTTGACTAATCTTCTTTTTAGTCTTACTTTGACTATATTTCTTTTAGTCTTACTTTGACTATATTTCTTTTAGTCTTACTTTGACTAATCTTCTTTTAGTCATACCCACACTTCAGTAGATTCTTATATTACATCCACGTAATATTCTACTGTATTCTCTTGCTGCACCCTTTGCAGCATTCCCTAATACATTCCTAATTCAAAGGCACCGTCATAACCAGATAATAACTGGGAGAGTCGAAGAATGAATTTGTACTAGGGTTTGTGTGTGGTGTTTCAGACGTGCCACCTTCGATCTTATTTATTATATAATTTAAAAAAAAAATAAAAAGAAAAAGAAAAAACTAAAATTAAATAATTAAAATTTATTAATGGAATTATTTGAATTTTTTCAATTAATCAATGATTTATTAATAATGAAACCTAATATTACTTTTCAAGGTTGTAAAGTGGTTTCAATGGACTTTTTTATTGACATTCAACATCGACTAAGAATTGCAAAACAAATGTGTATTGATGGAAAACCTCTAAGTTCAATTCAACAAGTAATTCATACTTCAATACCTCTCATTCAATCTTCACAAATAAAATCAATAGGTAAAGTATATTCTCCAACATTAATTAACTCACAAGTTATATTAGACTTTGATGTTATTATTATTGATCAATTATATCAATCTACATTACAAAAATTAAATAATCAATTTAACTTTACTTCTCTTCCTGAAGTCTTTATTAAAAAAAATAATAACACATTAACAATAATTAAAGAATATCCTATTGTCACAGTTTTTATTAAAGGACTTTCAAGTAGTGTTGAAACAATTCAAGTTACTACTTTTCCAAATGAATTAATGAAAGATTTTAAAAAAAAAGTATTAGACTTAATAAAAATAAAAATTGATGAATATCAATTAACTTGGTCTTCAAAAGATAATAAAGTATTTATTAATGAGAATTCTTTTGTTCCAAATGAATTATATCTTTCATTAATACCAAAATTTACTTCATTTTCAACACCTTTTACTTCAACATCATTTTCATTATCTTTCTTTTAATTAATAGTTTTTTTAATAATTTGTTTTTTAATTTAAAATAATAAAATATAAAAATACAAATAAAAAGAATAACAAAAAAAAATTAAAGTAAAAAATAAAAAATTGATGTTATAAAATTTTTGTAATTATTAACTTAAAATAATAAAAACTTTAAAAAAAAAAAAAAATCTTTTAGTCATTATGAGTATTAAAGTTATTTTAGTACGTGAAAATGACAAAAGAAGATGTAAAATGATTGACTGTTCAGGGATGAATGAAAAAGAAATAATGGACCATGTTTTAAATGAAATTGGTATCGTAAATGAAGATGAATATTCAATTGAATGGGAGAATAATGAAATAAGAATTGAAATGAAACCAAAAGTTCGTGCTAAAATTTTTGTTCAAAGATTAAAGAATATTTCTGAAAAAGATGAAAGAGAAGATTTAATGAATGATTTAGCATATGCAATGAAAGATGAAGAAGTAGGAGAATTTATTTGTCAATATGGATTGGATGTATTAATAGAGTTATTATATGATGAGATTTCAACCGTAAAAGGATTAACAACATTACGTATTTCTATGTCAAGAGAAAAAATTTTTGATATTATTATTGATGAACAACGATTTACTAATAAATTATATGAATTAATGGGTGAAGAAGATGTTTCAATTAAATGGCAAGCAGCAGAAATTATTTCAATTATTGTTACATTTGGTGGGATTGATATTGTTAGAAAAGCAGCTAAAGAGTATGCAAGAAAACATGGACAACAAACGTATGAATTACTTTTAAAAATGATGAAAGATAAAACTATGGAAGAAACAGTATTACTTGGAGCATTAGTTATTGGGTCAATTTTTATAGGAAGTAGTGTAGAAAAGAAAAAGTCTATTGCAAAGAAATTAGAAAGTATGGGGTTAAGTAAAACAGTAGAACAAATGACAATAAATTTTCCTAATTCAGAAGATATTAAAACACAAGCAGTAATAATACAAAATAATACTTATTATGCTCAAAAAGTAAAACAAGATAAAGCTAAAAAAGAATTTTTTAGTATTAGTAAAATAGTAGAAGAAGAATCATGTAAAAGAGATCAAATAAGAAATAAATTTAAAACAAATGAAGAAGAAGTTAATGAATTAAGAAATGAATTAGATTCACTTCGTGGAGATATTTTAATATATGAAAATGATATTAAAAGACTTCAAAAAGAAATAATTGATAAAAAGAAAGAATATAAAGAAATGCAATCAAAAGTTCCAACTGAAATTATGGGATATAGTGATGCTGAATTAAGGTCTAAAGTCTTAGATTTAAGAAGAAAAAGAGATAGACTTAAATTTGATGTTCAAGAACTTCATAAACAAAAGAATGAAATTAATGAAACAAAAGAAGAAATGGCATATTTTGATATGATTCATAAAATGCAAAAAGATAATAAACAAGGAATACCTAAAAAGAAAAATATTCAAAAACAAGTTAAAACTGCACCATTACCATGGCATAAAGTAATTACATTACAAAGAGGAGCAGACACTACTATTTGGGATGAAATGGAAGATTTTGATATTAGAGAAAAAGATACTGAAGGTTTATTAAATAATTTTAATTTTAATGAAGTAATTGAAGACAACGATCCAAATCAAGTTAATTATCCATTACATAAATATCTTGGATTTTCTCTTCTTAAATTACATTTACCTGCAAATAAAATTTTATTACAAAAAATTCAAAATTTAGATAATACTTTCCCTTTAAAAGATATAGAAGCATTAATTAAATATCTTCCTAATAATGCTGAATATCAAATTATTAATGGTTCTAAAGGAATTGATATTACTTCAGTTATTGCTGTTCAATTATGTAATGAACCATATTTAACAAATAAATTAACTATATGGTATAAAATTAGATGTATTAATATTGATATTGATAAAGCTACAACAATTATGACTACTATAGCTGATTGTCTTAATACATTACAGTCTTCTCAAGAATTATTAATGACTTTGAAAGTTACTTTAAATTTTGGAAATATTCTTAATGCTTCTAGTCCTTTACGTTGTAGAGCTGATGCTTTCTCATTAGAAGCTCTTCTTTTATTAAAAGATGTTCCTGGTCTTTTACAAAATGGACTTAAATTTGTTCTTGGACAAGTAGATCCAGTATTATTATTAGAACAAATAGCAATTTGTAGAGATGCTATTTTTAATACAGAAGATGCTAGAACACTTCTTCTTAAATCATCAAAAGCATTAGAACCATTAAGTAATGAATTACATGATTTACGTAAAGTATGTAAAGATACTTGTTCACTTAACTTAAAAAATTCAATAGAAACATTAAAACAAACTATTTCTAATGCTTTTAAAATATCTGAACGATTAGATACTCTTGTAAATTCTGTTACAGAATGGTTTGGGTTAGAATCTTCTGCTTCATTTTTTAAAATTTTTTCAGAATTTGTTAGAGATATTTCGTCAGTAATGGAGTTTGTTTTTATTTTGATTTAATACAATTTTCTTCTTCTAAAATTCTTATTTGTAGTTGTCAACATCTCGCAGAGTATATGGACCTTGAATTGATGCCATTGCCTTCTACTAATTATTCTGATCCAGTTGAAAATTACGTTCAACAAATAATATCCGGAGAAAAAGTTCCAAGTCCTATTGATCTTTTCTCTTATTAATATAATTTTAATAAACATCATTAAATTTTGTTATAACTTCTTTGATAGAACTAAAAAATTAAAACTAAAAATTACCTTAACTAATATGTCTTTTATCAAAGACTATACTCCACAACTAAAAGAAATAAACCAATTAATTAATACTAATCAATACAAAGAACTTGAAAAACAATTAGATTATTTAGATAGACATGAACAAATGAAAATATGTCAAAAATCATTATTTAAAACTCATATAAAATATACAACTTGTGTTCAATGTCACAAAACAATACTTTTATCTTTAACAATTAATTGTCAGTTTTGTGGTTTAAATAACATTTGTCTTGATTGTTGTGATATTATAGAATATCACTTTCCTCCTAATAGATTTAATAGTAAACTTGAAAAATATGATATTTATTCATGTTCATATTGTTCAACAAAATATAAAAAATATCTCTTTTATAAACAAATTCAATTCGACAGAAAACATTGGAAAGAAAATTTAATATCAAAATATTATAAATCTCTATTAAAACTCATTGGTCAATTCGATCAACAACAAACTGAACTTTCTTCTTTACAAAATGAATTTTATAATTATTTCACTAATGATATTTCACTTTTGGAATCAAACCTAATTCATAGAATAGACCTTTGTTGTAATACTTTACTCTTATTCTGTAAAGATTTAAGATCTCTTCAACAATTAATGAAAGACCAAAAACTAACCCAACTCAATACAAGAGAAAAAGATGTATTTACTTCTATAAAATGTCTGCTTCAATTAAAAATGAATGATGTCCTTACTGCTGAAAATGAAGTTGCTGTTTGGTGTTTTTTTTTATCTTTATTTCATGTAATAGAATAAATTCATTAAAAGATTCTTCAAAGAACTATTGTTCCTTTCAAACCAAAAAAGATTCAGAGTGACCAGTGTTTTTATGGATTGAATTCGTTAATTAACTTTATACAACCTTCTTCACAAAATCAATTTATTATTTCTCCGTGTATTGTAAACTCATTACCACAAATTATCACAATCCAATCTCAGTTGATAACATCTTCTACTAGGTTCTTTATTAAAAACAAAGAATTATATAATAAAATGATTCCAATAACTCCAGGCTATTTTATGTTTGAATTAACCTCAGGAGTCGGTATGATTCAACTAAGATTTAGAGAACGGTTAACAACATTTGAAATACCTTATGCGTTGTTTGTTGTTCTTGATGCTAAAAAAACAATAAAGAAATAAAAGTCAAATAAAATATATTTTTAATTTAAATGTTATTGTAAGTACATGAAACAATTACATCTCTCTTTCTTTTTTCAATTTTTCATATTCTTTCTTTGCAACATCATGTAGATCATTATACTTTTTCTTTTCTTGGTCACTTAATCCCTTCCATTTTTCTCCAATGATTTTCATAATTTCTGTATTTTTTAAAGTTGGATTAGCCTCTACAACACTCTTTCTTACATCTTTAGAATAAAGGAAATAAGCTGACAAAGGTCGTTTAAGTTTCTGAGTAGTATCAGTTGTTTTTGGTTTAGTGGTTGTCTTTGTTTTATCTTCCATTAATTATTCAATGGATTTTGTTTCTATTATCTCTCTTTAAATACGAAAAAGTTTAGTGAAAGATTATTATCTCGAGATTAAATTATATCGTTACCTTTTCGTTTTTTGTTGTCATTTAAATAATACAGACAAAATACTAAGATAATTTAAACAAATTCAATGAGCAAAATTTTCAAAGTCTTCAGTGAAAGTCACTGAAATACCTTTCATTTTATATGGAAGTTGTTTGTTAGGATTTGGTAGAAATTGAAAGTCATCACAACGAGCACCTGCAAGAAATGCTGTTCCATTTTTACGTGAAAATGTATTCATAATTAATGTTTGAAGAGTTCTGTCTGTTAAAATTGGATTTTCTGTTAGAAAATTTAATGATGTTGCTTCAAGAATTCGTTCCATCATCATAAAGTCTTTATTCATTGCTCTTCCTCCTTTACCTTCTAATATAACATCATCATAAAATGGTTCATAATCAAATTGAAAATCTTTTAGTGTAATAACATCTTTCTTACTAAGGAGAAGACCTGTTAATGCATCTGCCTTTATATTAATGTGCATTATTGCTTGAAACTTTGTTAAAATATTATACATTGTTAAATGTGTCATTGAAATTGAGTTAGGAAAATTCATTTTGACTCTATAAACTTCAATTTCATCTAAAAATTTTGTTAATCCATCAACACCACCTCTAATCCACATACAAAATTTTTGAATCCAAGTCCCACATTCTTTTAAATATGCTTTACCAATACCAAGTAAAGGAATACACTTTAATTGATCCATAACTTTATTTCTAACAAATTGAACAATTAAGTCACATTCATCCATAACACAAATATTTGTATTTTGTTCAGGTTGATTGGTAACAGTAGTAGCAAAGTCACCAGTAAATAAAATAACAGTTTTTGTAGGATTAGTAATTCTGATTGAATTTACAATAAATTCATGAACCTCTCTATACGCACAATGAAGGATATGTGAAAGTGTTACTGGAACTAAGTCTGTTTGACAAGGTTCATTATCTAATATTTTTGGAAGGTTTGTAAAAATTAATAAATGATTGAGTCTTTGTGAAAGGTCAATTCGAATGATAAAACATTCAATCGGATGTGAAATAGGTCTACCATAAATTGTACTATGTGGAATATAAGAATGAACAGGATATAAAGGATATTTACTCAATATCAGGGATCGTGTTGTGGCAAGTTGATATTGGTATGTAGTATTTTTTGTTTCAAATTTCTCTGGAAGATTACATAAACATAATATTTGAGGAGATGTATAACTTAAAATTTCTTTTAAATCACTTGAAGGGTCTTCTGATAAGTCAATTGTGTCAATAGTAAATGTGCTTGATTTAGTAGTCCCAAAGAGAAAAGCTTTGAGCATTAAAATTAATGAGTTTGGTTGAAATTTTTCTATCAACTTCAATTAGTTTATCAAAAGAAATATGAAGTAAAAAATAAAAAATTTAAAATTACGCAGAAAATCTTGTAAATCATTTTTAGATTGTGAGAGAAAGAAGTTTTATAAAAATATCATCATTTCTAAATCTGCAGATAAGGAAATAGAGATTCCACGTGTATTTTTTGAAATTTGAGATTAAAGGAAATGGATTGATTTTGTGAGAAATAGAAAAGTCTGTAAGATTTATAATCCAAAAAGGAAAAAAAATAAGAAATAATTAGAAAATCAACAAGAAATAGACTCTGCATTGTAAAACAAAACTTTAAATTCATACTGAACGAAGTTTAGTAATGAGGAGTTCCATGACTCTTGCAGATACAAAGAAAGAGAAACGAACAACAATGAGTTTCAGATTAACTGATGCATTTAACAAAAAGCCACAACCATTGAAACATTCAGAAACTATGATAAAAAATCAAACACCTCAAAAACATGAAAGAAGAGGAGTTTTCTTTGAAGTTGAAAAGACAGTGGTATTTGGGACTCCATTAGAAAAATTAAAGGAGTCGCAGTGTGGTTTTAAAGGAGTGCCATTAGTAATTGAAGATTGTTGTCATCACATTCGAGATTGTGTTATATCAAATAGAAAATTCATTAATAAATGGGATAACAAACAATTGAATAAATTTTTAGTACAACATGGTGGGAAAGAAATAAAAAATCTTACAGGAAAAGAAATAATGACAGTAAATTATGAAGATTTAAAAAAAATGGGATTCAGTGAAGAAGAAATTAAGAAAACACTAAATATTATTCAAGAAGAAAAGAAAAATGTTATTTCTTTTGATGATATTCTTAATAATAAATTTAGTTGTTGTGAAATAAAACAAATGTATGAATTAATAAAAAAATATGATGAAGGAAAACATGTTAATTTATATGAATGTTCTACAGTTAAAATTAGTATGTTATTATTGAGAACATATTTTATTATGTTAGAACCATCACTATTTAATGAAGATTTATGCAAAAAGATTGATTCAATTTTCACTCAATCAAATAATTCTGATGGAAAAAAACATATTTATGAACTTCAACAACAATTAATAGATTATATTAAAGAAAGTATTTCACCAACTGCATTTAATGTCTTTAATTTAATGAATAATTTCTTTTTGACAATAGGAAATCATCCTAAAAGTTTGGTATTAAATGAATTTAATGAAATAGTGATTTATTTCTTTGAAAGTTTTAATCCACGGCATGAATTTGATCAAGGATATCTTGAACTTATTCCTATATTATTAGGTTTGTCTAATGATGATCAAATTAATTTATTACCTCCATATCGTATTGAAACATTAGACCGTTATGATGGTGAGTTTGTTCAATTTACTGTAAACAATGTTATTTGTCCATATTTTTTCTTTCCATTAACAACATTTAATGAATATAATACAGCTGGTTGGTTTAAAGGTATATTATATATTACCAATTATAGAATGTTATTAGATTGTGATGATACATCAATGCTATATGATGTTTGTTTTACTCAAGTTCCATTAAATAATATTGGTTTTTATAAAATCACTAAAGAATATATTGAAGGGAAAGTATATTCAGCATTAAGAATTATAGCTACAGACTTTGGACATTTAACTTTTTTTTGTGAAAATAGATATAGTGAAGAACTATTACATTGTCTTGAAGAACATATTATGTTTTTCAATTTTAGTTATGAACAAAGTAAATTTAATACATTAGGAATTAAAGGTAAAACAACAAAACAATTAATAACAGAAGAAAATAAAAGACAGAATTGTGGAATAATCCCAAAAGAATATATTCATATTTGGAAAAACCCAAATAGTAAAGTTGAATTAAACATTTGTCAAACAGGAATGACAACAAATAATAATTATATTCAAGTTAATGGACCAGATATTCCTTTTGCTTCTTTAATTGAATTAATTAATAATAACATCGGTACTCCAATATCTGATGATATTTTTAATAAAATGACACAATTTGCTTATCAAACATTAGAACCTGCAAAAGAAATTGCAAAAAAGTTATTAACTCAAAGTGTATTAGTGTCATCAAATGGAATAGGAGAAATAAAAGCATTATTAGCTATTTCTATAATATCATTAGATTCTTATTACTTATCATTAGATGGATTTATGGTAATGTACCGTACATTTTTTAAGTTTACTGATACTTATCAAAGAATGGTATTTTTATGGATGATTTGGTTAATAATGAACCAACACCCACAAGTTTTTGGATTTAATTATAACTTAGTTAAAACATTATTCTACCACATTACTGCATTACGATTTAATGATGATTTATTACATCAGTTTGTGTTAAATAATCGACAGTACTTTGCTACAATTGGTAAAGTAAAATTTGCAATATTAAATGATATTATCCCTCGTCCATCAGAATTATTTTTCCAACATCCTAGTATCCAACAATTACCTAAAATGAATCAACAAATTGTTATTATGAAAAACACTAGTGCATCTACATTACTTCCTTTTACACCAACAACTATTCAAACATTAGAAGTAGAAAATAATAAGTTTTTTGATATTCCAATGAAAGTATTATCTTTTAGTAAATTAAATACTTTAAAAATGGCTAATAATAAGATTTATGTCCTTAGTGATGGAATTAGTTCATTTCATAACTTAACATATCTTGATGTATCAAATAATAACATCAAGTGGTTTCCACTACTTGGAGTAATCAAACTTAAATATCTTGATATTTCTAATAATCCAATTACAACTATTTCATTTCTTCCTACTACATTAACTACACTCAATATGAGAGGATTATGTAGAATGCCTGATTTGACTCAACATTCTTTGATTACATTAGACTGTTCTGGAACATCATCTATTTCATCAAAAACTTTGTTTCATAATCTTCCTAAAACTCTTAAAGAATTGGATATATCTAGTAGAGGTATGTTATCATTACCAATTAAAATATCTAAATTAACTTCATTAACTAAATTAAACTTATCTAATAACTATTTAACTGTATTTCATCCAAGTTTCTTTGAATTAGGAATTAAAGAGTTAAATATTGAACATAATCATATCAAAATGTTACCACCAACTTTTAAAAAGATGCCTATTGAAAAAATTATTAAAGATGATTTCTCTTATGAAAAAAAGGTAATTGAAAAAAGAGTTGTTTTAATTGACAATTCAACGGAAATATTTAATTCACTTATTCGACAAAGTAAACATATCAATTGGAATATTAAAGAAGAACCAAGGTCGGCAAAGTTAATAATAAAAAATAACATTGTTATTGATTTAAAGGTATTAGACCTAGAAAGTATTGAATCACAACCATATTTTGGAATTGATGCTCTTTACATTATTCATATAAGAGAATCTATTCCATTCAGAATAATTGATTTGTGCCAAGTTACTTCATCACGTAATTATATTGTAATTTCTGATAAAATAATTGAAGATATGACAACTATTGTTTATGATGGAACACCACAAACTTTAAAATCTATTTGTAGAACATTAAGAAAATTTATTGAAGACTTTGGAAAAGATGAAATATCCTCTAACTGTTATGAAATCTTAAAAACATTACAATGTTATGATTTATCTCCTGCAGTAATGACAACGGCATTATATCAAGAAATTATTTCTTCATTAGAAATGAAAGAAAATGATATTAATAAAGCTGTACATCAATTAGTTGAGAGAAGGCTATTACACAGAAGTTGTCTTCCTTCAACTACCCCAAGAAATAAACGAGGATTACGTCCTTCTGTTATTGAGGTAAGAACGAATTATTCAACTTATTATTCTGAAGATTTTGGATATATTTTAGTTGATACTCTAAATATTTCACATATTGCTGCATCACTACTTATTCAAACAAAAGGTATTTTTACTGCTCGAGCATTACAAAGTTGTAAAATGAATGGAATGAAAAATAACATGCAACTCAATTATATTATTAGTGTTCTTGAAGAATATTCAATTGTTTTAAAAGTAAGATTAGATTTAGCAAAGAATATAGGATGTGAAAATGAATATCCTTTATTACTAGAACAAGCCAAACAAGCTACTCTAGTGTCTCAAGACGTTTGTTCTATTGGAAATGATATTATCTTATTGTCATTAGTTGGAGTTCCTTATATTGGAAATTGGGAAGAACAAAATGATACAATAATTAGTTCACGACAATATACATTTAACAAATTTCCTTTACAACTTCAACAATGCTTCATAGCCAGTTGTGCATTATATTTTGGAATGCCATATAGCTTATGGAGAAGTGGAGTTATTTTTAAAAAAGAAATCAGAAATGAAGTTATTGATGTACTAATTAAATTTTCCACATCATCATTTGAGGTACATACACGATATCATTTGAGTTCACTCCAAATGGCTGTAGATAATGGAAATATACATCATTCTTTAGAAAAATTCTTAGACCAACTAATATCTATTTATTTTTTGAATGTAAAATTTTCAGTGTCATTATTATGTCCTCATTGTCTCAATCATTCTATTAAAAAAGAGGATATAACAAATTCTTTTTTAATTCATGAAGAGGATCATTCTTATAATATCCCATTAATTGCAATGGATTACTTTTTCTCCATTCTTCCTCCTTCTCTTTCTTCTCCAACTCTAATTAAAGAAATAACTAGAGGTTCATCATCAATCATTTATTTATGTGTTGGAGGGATTGTACTTAAACAGATTAATTCTGACTTTAAATCTTTGAAAAGAAATGATGCTATTCATGACTTTAATTGTAGAATTCATGAATTTTATAATGAAGTTATATTTAGTCAATACTGTTTTGACAATGTAGGAAGAATATTGGGATATGTTACAGAACCATTTGGAATTGAAATGGAATATTATGATGGAGGGTCTTTGTTTGATCTTATTGGAGACTTTACTCAACCAATTCCAGTTCATAGTATTTTAGTTGACATTGCCAATGGAATGAAAAATATTCATCAAATAAATAAATTACATAGAGACTTAAAGAGCTTAAACATCTTATTAAAGAAACAAGCACCAAATATGTTCCAAGCTTTTGTATGTGATTTTGGTGAAAGTACAATTGAAGGAGAACAACAAAGTCAAATTGAATGTCCATTTTGGTTAGCACCAGAAATCTTTAAAGGTGAACAATGGACAAAGGCTTCTGATGTATATTCGTATGGTGTTATTATATGGGAGGTAATTACTAGACAACGACCTTATGAGGGTAAGTTTTATAATGAAGTTAAAGAATCAATCATAGAAGGAGAAAGATTAGAAATACCTAAAAATTGTCGATATGAAGACTTAATGAAGAAATGTTGGTTAGAAAACACAGAGCAACGACCTTCATTTGAAGACATTTTAAACATACTAAAACAACTGTAATTGAACGAATCATTTTAAATTAAAATTGTAAATTATTTGTATTAATCTAATGAATGAAGGATTTTAAGTACTTCATTATTATTTTGGGTATAAAAATTATAACTATGAGAACATCCACGAATTAACAGATTTATACAGGTATATGCTATTCTTAATTTACCTTCTATTCTAATAAGTCTTTTATCATTATCCATAAAAGTCGGCATATCATTTATTTTCATTAACTCTTGTTTAATTAATACAATTATAGGAATAAATGGTGGTTCTGTATGTAGAATAAGATCTTTATAAACATTACAACGTGTTGTAAGATCAAATAATTTATTAAGTGTTTTGAATGTATCGTTTTTTTCAATAACTTTGATATATTTTTCCCTTTTCTTTTCATTTATCCAACTATAACTTTTTAATCCACAGTAAATAGAATACGCACAATCATAGTTCTTCAAATTAAGAAATGTGTCAGCATATTTTAATATTTTTTGATAATCTTGCTTTTTTTTTAATATATTCTTTATCCATTTATTAAAATTACTACTTAAATTTTCTAATTCATTTTCTGTTGTTTCTATTATTTCAGTTATTGTTAATTTTTTTAATTTATCATACATAAGTGCTGTAATTTGTTCTTCAAAAGAATGTGCAATATGATTATACTCATCAACTGTTTCAACAGTACTCTTTAATAAAATGTCAATTTGGCTAATCTCATTAGGAGATAAAGCGTGTTGCCAAAACTTAATAAATTCAAAACAAACTGTTTCATATATACTTTTTAAATGTGTCAATTTTAAATAATTGTTATCACAAATAAAGTGAAGTACAGTCTCTGGTGTAGTAAAATAAGGTAATGTTATCATATAAAATCTAACATATCCAAAGTCAATTGCATCTTTACTAAATAACAATGCTGACAATTTTTCAATATTCAAACATAATGCAATTCTAATATTCGAATCAATAATATCATAAACACCTGTCTTATCAGTTCCTCTTAAAACATAATCTTCATATCGAATCGCAATTTGAATGAGACGATAACCAAGTTTATTAGGAATACCAATAGTATTTTCATCAGAAACTAAAAACCCAGAAAATACTACTGCCATTTCTTTTGAAGTTTGACAGATATGACTAAATAATCTAAACAATTGTTTCAATGGCTTTGCTAAATTTAATACAATACTTTATAATAAGTGAATATCATCATAACTAAATCCTGTTTTATTAAATTCTACTACTTGAAAAAGTTTGAATACTGATGAACTTGTCATAACTAACAATACTAAAGATAGTGCTATTCGTTGATAAGAAGGTAAATCTTCACAAACAATTGTTTGGAATTTGTTTGCTCTTAATAAAGTAAAATTTTCTTTAAGTTGGTTATGGTTATCTAATGAGTCTAACACATCTTTATACGAAACTGTCCCAACCGTATTTAATATTGAACAACATAAAGGAACAGTGAAATCATATGTTGGAATTATTCCACTACCAACCATCATTTGTTGTAATTCCTGTGAACATCTCTTTGATACTTTTCGGTGAGACTTAGCAAAGATATGGTAAAATGGAATGTTTCTTTCAATACATGAACCAACTTCAGTATTAATAGAGTCAAAATCTTCTACAGTATCAAATTCATTTGCACTACTAATAGAACTAGATATTGAATCTTTTAATGAATTTCTTTCATTAGAAATGTTGAATGCACGAAAAGAAATAAATTCAGTTGTAATTTTATCAGGGATAATAACTCCTTTAACTGATACAACATTTGGAATAAAAGAAGAATATTTTTTAGATGAATTTGTTGGAATGCGAATGGTTTGTCTCATAAAAAAGCTTAAGAAAATAATATCTAAAATGACTTTTAAGTTCAAAACAAAAAAATTCCTTTTTATAACTTTTTTGTTGTTATAGAATTAGAAGAGAATAGACTTATCTAACAAAAATTTGACTCATATCGTCCCATTTAAACTAAAAACCAATGGCTAAGTCAAATCAACATATGTTAATCTTTATTTGTATTAGTTATATCATCTTCAACCATTTGAATTTGTTTAAGAGCATTGTTTTCTTGTCGAATATCATCTCTAACATCATCTAGTCTTTCTACTAAGTCTTCAGATGTATTTAATCCTTTTATTGTTTCATTAATATCTTTTTGAGTAATACAAAGTAATGACAAAATTGATAACAATGTTCTAATTTCTGTTTTTAAAGCTACATTTTCTAACATATATGCTTCTGTCCCAATAGACGTATATTCTTTTGGAAAAGAAAGTGCTTGTAATTCACTTCCCATTACATCACATAATTCAAGATAAATTTTACGAGATTTTTTGTAAATACTAATCAATAAATACCTTTTCTTTTTATCTTTTTATATAAAGAAACATTTCTTTTCACCTAAAAAAATGACAAACTCAACCATAACACTCTGTATTTCAACAGCAAGATCTTGTTTTACCATTCTTAAGACTTGATTTTCTTGTTGGACAATATGAGAATCAAGACTTTGTGTTAAATACGTTAAAAGTGATGAAAGCTGTTCCTCAAAAATCACGTCATCTTGAATTGTTGGATCAAATTTATCAAAATGTTTGTATTGAGAACTAAAAAAATAAGAATTTGTTGTGTTTTCTTCAGGATTTGTTGTCTCTTCTTTTACATTTAAGTTGTCAAAAAATCTTGAAACAGCATCATGAGATGTTTTTGTAGTGTTTTGAAGAAATCCTTTCATTCTATTACAATAAAGATTAAAATTAAAAAAGGAAAAAATTATTGATAAAACTGAAAAAAGAAGTTAGAAGATTGAAAAGATTGAAAATAGAATCATAAAGAACTAAAAATTAAATAATTTCTAAGATTAAAAAATGAATAAAAAGAAAAAGAATAAAAGTAACAGTTATTTTTCTTATATTCACAAAAACCTTTTCGTTGAGAATAAAGTCATTTACAATCTTACCACCTTTCATTAATATAGTTAGGAACCTTTTGGTGAAAGACATATCTCAATTATCTTTATAGAACATATGTATAATAAAATTATTAAAGTCATACTAAAATTACTCTTGAACTATATAATCTAACCAACATTAAAACTTTAATTGGTTGATGTTATCCTCATTCAAACATTATTGTTTTAATTAACTATCTTTCAATTACTTTCTACTTTTATATAACAATATGGCATTAATTTAATAATGTTATTTTATATCAAGAGTATAAATGTTATTCATTTCTCTGTTAATTAATAGTTAAAGTAAGTGATAAACTTAAGTGAATTAAAGTCTTGCATAAGAAAAGAAAGGTTATAATATGTCAAGTAATCAAATCACAAAATGAATTCAGTTTTGTTAATACTTATCTAACCCTTGTAAAGCCGAAAGAAGTGTGTTTGAAAATGTTATAAGTAAATATAATAATATTAAGACGTACAGAAATAAATATTGCAAATATCATTGAATAATCATAAAAAAAATAATGAAAAAAGAATATGATATTTATAAACAAATCCCCTTCAGTCTTATAAGTAGAAAAATAATAAAAGAGAAATACATCATTAAAACAAAAGAGGTTTAAAATAATTAATAAATAAATTAAAAGAGAGTTAAAAAAAATCAAATAAACAATAACAATGTACGAATTAGTCAATACAATAACCATGTTGTATAACACTAATAAGAATAGTAAATAAAAATATTACTAGAAATAAAACTAAATTAATATTTTAAAGGTTGTAGTTATAACATTAGTAAATGAAGTAATTTATTTATAGTAGTTAAACCTTTCATTTTCATTAAGTATTTTTCTTATTATCTTAATAAAAATCCATTCTTTTTATTTTATAAGACTAAACTTATAATAATCTTGAGTATTTAAGATGTGAGTTTTATTTCATTTTTAATAGAATATTCATTAAGAAAGATGAAATGTAAATAAAAGGAAAATAAAACCTCTAAATATTTGCAAAAATTATGAGTAAGTAATCAAGAAGAAAAATAGTACTATTATATGACCTAGAAACAGTCTTCAATATAATGAAAATCCATGTAGAAGAATTTATGAAAAGTGAAAAAGGTTATGGCTCTAATTTGTGAAAAAAGATTGAAGGAAGAAGAAAGTGTTGATCTTCTAAATGAGAACCCAGAAGACAGAGTTAGAAGAATAAAAGGAATTTATGATAGAAAAAAAAAATCCGATTAAAAGAAATAAAATTATCAAATACTAACTCAAAGACAATGTTTTGGTGTTAGAGACAATGAAAAAAAGGACTACTCAATACTTGATGAGACTAAGCCTAATAATAATAACATCTTGTCAATACAAATGGATATTATTATTGTAAAAGTTGTTGAAACAGAAAAGGAAAGAATTAATAAATTGATCAGTGAAATTCCCTACAGAAAGTGTAGTAAGTATCAAGGAGATTTAAAAAACAATAAGAGAATAAGAAGAAAAAGAAAGGAAGAAACAAATGAAGAAAATCAAACAAATAGAAGAATAGATAAATAGAAAAAAAAGAATAAGCAATATAATATTTGATTCAGTTACTGATAATAAGAATGTATATATACCTGTACTTGAATAAAAAACATATAATAATTAATATTGAAGATGAAGAATGAAATAAAAATGGAGGATGTTTTAATTCTAAAATTGATAAAAATGATGGTTTTATAAATGATTCAAAACAATTTGTATTTTCATTAAAATAAAAATGAATGATGAAATTTGATATTAAACAATAAAACAAATTTATTTAATAACTCAATGCATTATTTGAATTTTGAAATGATGAGATCCTTGTTTATAAAGAAAATGATAAAACAAATTCATATTTTAAACAACGTTCATTTGAATATGAAGGAATATCAATTACACTTTGTTAAAATATATTTTCACAATAAAACGAATCATAGTAATTGAAATGATTCATCTTGAATAATTGAAAATGAAATAAAAAAGAATAAAAACAAAACAATGAAGAATATGAATGTTTTGAAGATAGTGGTATTAAGTATTTATGTCATTCATTCATGTAAATATACTCTTCTCATTTTTTATTATGTTATTCATTACTTAATATTTCATTAACATAATCATTAATTTGGATTGAACATCGTTACAACAATGATAAAACAAATAGTTATTCCTAACTTTATTAGAACTATTATTTATTCTTTGTATAGTCATAATACAACATTGAATTAGTACACCAAGAATATGTATTAATGTTAATAAATTCATTTATCATTAACATCAATGTATTCCATATTTATTAGACAATTTTATTAATGACTATAATTGATACTTTTGAATTAACATATTCATTTATTAAAGTCATTCTTTCAACTTCTTTATTAGCTTTTCATTTTAATTGATTATTTATCTTCTTCCATTCTCTCTGTAAGATATTCAATGTATTTCTTGTGTCATACTAAATATTAACAACAATTGACTCTTCAATAATATTTATTCATTCTTCATTGTAAACAGACATAGTTATTGAATGTTCATGACAATAAATAAAACAATAAGAATGATTAAATAAGAGAATAATACAATAACTATAAATTAATAGAATGGTAAAGTCAATTCTAATTTATTAATTAACTCTTAAAAACATGAATAACTCTTTTTTTGAATAAATGAATGAAAATAAGGAATTAACAATGGACAAAAATAAGTGATGGTTATATTAATTGAAATTCAAACATTTCAATCATCAAAACATCAAATAACAAAATAAAAAAATAAGAAATAATCTAAATATAATAACAAC